GACCATATTGTCATGAACGGTGAAGAGAGGAGGGATGGCGGCCATGGTGCCTATATCAACGTATTGTTAGTTAAAGTTTTTTTTTTGTTTTTTTTGTGTTAAAGGCTACAGTTTTCGTTGGTGTTGCGGCACCCATCAAAGCAGTTTTCGTTGGTGTTGCAGCACCCATCGAAGCAGTTTTCGTTGGTGTTGCAGCACCCATCAAAGCAGTTTTTGTTGGTGTTGCGGCACCCATCAAAGCAGTTTTCGTTGGTGTTGCGGCACCCATCAGTCTTTGTTGGTGTTGCGGCACCCATCAAAGCAGTTTTCGTTGGTGTTGCAGCACCCATCGAAGCAGTTTTCGTTGGTGTTGCGGCACCCATCAAAGCAGTTTTCGTTGGTGTTGCTGCACCCATCAAAGCAGTTTTTCGTTGACCATCACAGTGTAACATCACCAGTGTTTGCAGTTTTCGTCGGTGTTGCGGCACCCATTCATTATAACATTTGCCATTGGTGTTGTGTCACCCATCATAGCGTCCGTAGTACGCTCGATGCTGTTTCGTGGTTGTTGTATTTTCATTGTCATTTTCATCTTTATGTTCATTTTCATTTTTGTTCGTTGAATAACTTTCAGCAGTTATTGCTGGATCTGATAAACCATGATATTATCGTCACTGCGTTACGATGTTGTTGACTTACGAAGTAGTAGCTATGGTAATCGGTAGACAGTATTGTAATCAAACGTATTCTTAAAAGGAGTGCGTTCATCGTTCATCGTTCATCGACAGCTTTCGTAAGCAGCCGATTTATCCTTACTACTCAAAGACCGCTTGCAATTGTACACGTTCGTATCAGTACGGCGCATCTCGCATCCTATAGCACAGTCACCTATATTTGTAGATTCCAATACGGTAGTGGCAGCCGACTGCAACGACGGGGAGGTTCATTCCTGCTTTCAGAAGCAGTTTCATGCACTCGGTGTGCACGATCTGGAAAAACTTTTGGAAGATCCCTGTCACGTTCCAACTGGGATGGTACTGGCTCGAATCGCTGTTGGTAAGTTGAGACTGTACTGATTTCTACAACATATTATCTTGTCTAATGTCAGCGAAACAAAAAGAGCAAGAACACCAAAGGGAGAAACAAAAATTGAAGGAACAACGACAAAAGGAGAGGGCACTGCACACGCAAAAGACACAACTTATGAATATGAGGAAACGTCTGGAAAAAGAGAAAAGTCCTTATCGAGAGATTGTGGATACTATTCACACGGTGTTTGGTAAGCAGGGAACAGAACTGGCACATAATGGAAGTTCGACCTATGCCGAAGTGACCAAAGAAACGATCACAGGAATTGTGGACATGCTCAAGGATCACCACGAGTATAAAGAAGACGACTGCCTCTTTGATGCTGGTAGTGGCATTGGTACTATGGTGTTTCGAATGTTGGTTGAGTTGCATTGTTGTGCCTTGGGTATTGAGTACTGCAACCACCGTACATTCCTTGCTGCCCATGCCGCTATTAATTTTTTTGCAGAGTACAGGCTCGACGAACGGTTCAACCAAGGAACGATGCTTGCTCTGGGAGATCTTTATAACCTCCAACAGATACCTAAGCAAGTCACAACATTGATAATGTACGACGAGGCGTTTCCTCCCGGATTGATGCTCCACATGGCAGATCTCATCCAGGCAGCCCCGCCCAATCTCCAATTTGTTGTATCCGCAAAGGTCAACAGAGAGAGTTGCTACTCCCAGCTCTTAATCAACGCAGGATTAACAGACCTGGGCAATGTCAAAGGAAGCAAAACGAACAATGGTGGAGCGACTACATTTACTCTCTTCAAACGCCTGGAACCCCTAATGAACAAAGATGGAGGGTCTGCAGCTCCGGCAACCACGTCAGTGTTGCCTGCACTTGAAAAGTACTAGCCAGTCCATCTGCAGATCGAAGGAGAGCTCGAAACATTCGCAATGGGGGGTTCCTACAAATCAAGATTGAAGTACTATGAGGCACTGAAGCAGCAACTCAGAAAACTATGCAGCGGGAAAAGAAGCTACGCAAACTGCAACCTCTTACTCCTACTGCACAATTGAATGACGAGATAAATCAGTGGAGACATCAGTTCTGAGCTCTTACTCCTACTCCACAAGTGAACGACCAGACAATCCAGTCCAGACACCAGCGGAAGAAACCATTGAGTCTTTTTTCACACCGGAACAATTTGACAACGCAATGCAAGAAGAAGGTTCGGTTTATCATTCACCCCAGATGGGAGGTAGACTTATCTTCAGTGCGGACGAAGAAACAAGTTCACTGGGAGATACACTGGGAGATACGGTTCTGTCGGAAGGGGAAGAAACTGAAGAAGAAAGGAAATTGGAGCTGTTGGATCAGTTTGCAATTCCAGTCAAGCGTCTCCTTTTGCAAACTTTGTGTGCCAATGGGGGGTTCAAACAAGTTCTTAGCATCATTCTTGTAGTAGAGGATCGTTGGTTGCGTTCGAACTTCAAGATACCCATCAGCAGAGACAATGCAGCAGGAGTCAAAGTCTGGTTGACTACAGGTCCTCAGTCCCACAGTGTAGACATTGACAAATCGAATATTGTCACCCAATAATAGCTCTTCAGCAGCAAGTGATTGTGCATCTGAGATGGATCCATCCTCAAGTATTCTTGTGTACCATAGTCTGTTTTG